CCTATATTCCAGATAATTTTATTCTGAGCTAAACTATATAGTAAATTTTAGTATATTTTATTATTTAGTAGTAAAATAAATTAAATAGGACACCAGAATACTAATGTTATCTATATTGCGTAAAAATCAAGGAACCGCACTGAAGTAGTTTTCAACTATATACCATAAATCTCGAAAGAATTCATTGTTAATTGTTTCTAGTTCATCACGATGTGCTACTTTATCCAAGTGCTTAATTGAAATCTTTTTTCATGATTATCTAAAGGACAACTGGGTGATTCGTCAATTTCAGATAATCTAGATCAAACGATCAGTCCGACCTTAAGTGAAAATTGGATTTCGGCATTTTTATTACAATTTCCTTTAGTAAGAGAATCATAAAGTTTAACAAACATACAGTAATAAATCGGCTTTGCACTGGCGTATTTTTGTTTTGGAATAAAAGCATGCATAGATAGCGTGTATAATGCAGGTAGAATAATTAAAGTGTGCAAGTAGAGATCGGGCCCGCATCGGCATAAATTGCGGAATTAGGTCGCCGATAACCCGTCCGACTGGCCGCACGATGGATCAGAGCCCTTTGTTGTTGTTTTCTATCGGAAAACACGTGATTATTCAACCGAAACTATAGTAATTCAGAGTTAAAAAGCCACTCTGGACCTGTATATGCATCGGAACGGGCAGTGACGCCGGTTATGTAATGGGTGCCGGAACTCGCCTGCAGTTTGTACTGTTTGCCAAATACTCAATGTACGCACTAGTTAGGGAGTTGTTAGGATTACTTTGGTGTCGTAATAAAACTGGCAATTAGGACTTTTTACACAGTTAAGCCTAAAATTTATGCCCATAATATAGTCCTTTAACTTTCAATAATATAATATAATTACATATTAACAAAATTAAAGTTTTGGTGAATTTTTGTCGTAACATGACAATTCTAATTTTACCCCGATTTATTCGTTACAGATCTGACGATTTTTGAAACTTGTACCGGCGGTATAGATATAAATTGAAAAACCGTCCGTTTTAAAGCATTTTAAACTTTAGTAAAAATATCAGGCGCGTGGTCGAAAAGCTTACATCGTGTAACGATACGCTGAAATTTATTTTTGCATCACGAACATTGTTTAAACGTTTTCGCAATTTCCTTTTAATAACATTATATTTTTGATTGCATTGTTAGTCAACGGCAAAGTACATTTATTTTACAAATAAAGGTTAAGTTTTGTTTTAACGTGTTTGTTGACGTCTTTGCGCATCATTCAATATAATAATAAAGCAATTGCTTCATTGTAATCAATAGGATTAAAATATTGAGTTTACTAACGGCAATCTGACCGTTAATGTTAACTGATTTAAAAAATATATCTTTTATATAACTAGCTGACCCGTACTTCGTACCGCCTTCGTACAGCAGTCAATGAATGTCGTGTAATAGATGAGCTAAGCTTAATTTACAATTTTAAGAAAGTACAAAAATACAAAACAAATATTGAATTCAATACTGTATTATATCATTAACACAAAAAGAAATAAGCATCTCAACGCACGCATAAATATTTGACAAACAATATGTCAATCCTTTTTCATTACTGACACACACTACTACATTATTTAAATATTAAATGCGCCATTATCCGAATACCTATTGTGGACATATCTTGCCGACTCCAAACTTTTATTTAAATACGTTCATTAAATTAACAGGAGAGTTTACCGTAACGATGGGTTGAACATTAAATGTTTGATGTCATCCAAGTTGGATACTTGGTTAGTTAATAATCGAGACTCTGACCGGACCAACAATGATAATTGGCATCTTACTGCAGACGTCGTTAGTAAATTAAATATTGACGTATAATTAAGTATATGAGGACGATATAACCCCCAGGGCCCTTACTGAACTCACAATCTAGCAAAAGAAAACTCGGTTGACCGAGGATGCGTTGGTGGAATGGAGTTGTCGGAGACGTCGTAACAAGGTGTTCGAAGTAGGACGCAAGAAGTATAAGATAGATTGCGATGGCGAAAGATACTTGTGGAAGGTAAGGCCCATAGGCCAGGGGCCTTAGATGATGGCACTTCCATTGATGATGATGATGGTGAAAATTAAGTATATACATATTGATCGTTTGCTAAATATATTTTTTACAATATCACTAGTAAAACAATTACCAATCAATAGTATTCAAATCACAGCCAGTTAGATTATTTTATATAGTAGATAATAGTATTAATTATATTTATCTATATTTGCTTATTAATCAAACGAAGCCATAAAAAGTACCTATAGGCTAAAAAAAATAAAATTTAAATATAAATTATGCATCAAAAATATCTGAGCGGGCCCAATAAGCCAGGCTATACATCAAAAGCTCAGATTAAATTAAAAAGTTCGTTGAACAGTAGGTACTTACCGTGTGCCGGGCGCCCCTCACCGGACCCTCGTCAATCTAACTTCAGTCGTTTCTTGATACAAACCTTTCACTTTGCAAATTAAACAATATCGCATTTCATTTAGAAATCTCCATTTTGATGGGTTGAATTAGTTGTCTATTCATTAAAGAAATATAATACCTATTTTCATTATCGACCTGGCGAATGTTGTCTTATGCACATTCTAACAAGTGCGGTTCTATTTATTTATTGGTGAATAAAAGATAGAATATTGAAGAAAAGTACACAATAGTTTACGACGACCAACTTCGAACATAAAACTTAGTGACACGAGCGAATTTAATTATGCTAATGGTTCGCCTCGGGTGTTTCCTATCTCATGATTTATTCTTAATCTAATGTAACGTTACAAGTTGAGGCCGTATTTGGACTAAGGGAATATCGAACTCGTTACACGGTAGTCTCAGAAGTGGATATGAATTTTCTTTTCCTCTTAGTCTTACTTTCCTTTAAACGATTTTCTTTATCGCAGTTTCTTACATATATGTAAAGGGAATGTATCTACTTACTAATTACAAAAAGAAAATTCACCGGATTTCGACCAAGGTTTATTTGCGCAAAGGTTTATTTAAATAATATTTAGATTAAATAGGTCTGTATAGAAATATAAATAATGTATTTAAAAATATACTTTCAAGTGTAAAGGTCACGAAACAACCTTTACAATTCTCACCTCTCAAATAAATTTAATTGTAAAACGTGAACGGGCAGCTAACGAAGCTAAGTCTTGCTGAAAAATGCTTCTCTCGGAGAATAGTTGTTAGTTTTAATTCGTTTATGTAAATAGAAGTCGCCCTCATTACCGCAGCACTCGAAACAAATTTCAAAAAGACCTTACGCCCTTAACTTTGGCCTTGTAATTTTTAAACTATATATTATTTTCATATCTTTAATCGATTTTTCTAAGACGAATTATTTATAAATAACGTATAAGCGAAAACAATTGATGAATGTATGAATTAGTATATTTTTATTAAATTCTAATAATTCTATTCTATTGTGTTATGACATTAACATGATGTTATTAATCATATCATTATTTTATATTATATCAGTTATTTCAAGACGAATGCTGAATCTAATCTATTGATTAAATTATTAATTATTTATTATTATATGTAAAAAAATACAGTATTGACAATTTCATGACCGTGATAATAAATACTTAGCGAACTCGCTATGTCGAGTTAAAATTGTTCTGAACTCTGTACCAGAGTGGGATATACTTGTCATAGACTATGAAATTAATGATCACCCTACACCATAACCGTATATATAAGAATGGTTATTGCTGCTAACAAATAAATTCAAATATTATTTATAATCTCATCAAGTGTCTGTTATTCTCTGTAACTTTGATTATTCGAAAAGTTTCACCGCGCTGCAAATGTAACTTTTTGGCAGTTTAATGAAAAGTAATGTTCATTGTAATAGGCAGTTTGTGCGTGAATAAAAAACTTTTTAAATAACTGTCTTCTTGACTATATCGCACCTGTCGGCTAGTGTCCGCGGCCTATGTCAGACTGGTGGCAAAATCATCACAAACGACGGAAAATTGTATAATCAATAAATATACCAAAGCTTTTTAACTCTGCCTGTGTATTATATTATTATCAAAAAACCATAACTTCGTATCAATTAAACCTGACTCTCCTTGTTGGTTCCTTGTTACATAGCAATTCTAAATTTATGTTTGTTAAATAAGTTTTGTAATGCAGTACGCTCTTTCTTCAGACAATTAATCAAGACTTCGCGACTTGAAAATTCTGGAGTAGACTGACAATGACTGACGAGGTGTTACAAGAAAAAAGTGAACTGTTATTGCAAATTATTATTTTCAAATTCAATTGAAAAGAAATCTGCGTTTCTTGACATTGCAATTAGTTGTAGTGAAATAGCTCATACATTCCACGCTCACTCGCGTGGAGGTGCCAGCGAAACCGCAAAGATTTATTGACGCCTCGAATTAGCAAAGCAATAAAGTTTTTCATGCGACTTCCTTATACTTGTACCAAAGTGAAATACTTTTACTTATTGGTTTTCTTTCCTTGGACTTTTTTTGAACTAATTTCTTTGGACTGCTTGACTAAGTGAGTTTGTGCTAAGTAATGTGATAAACTAAATATACCAAGAATGCATAACAATATTAATTATTCAGCGATAAATTAATATAATTATTGTTTTCGTTACGTTATCTATTAAAGTTCTTGGTGAAGCATGTAATTTAATGTTTCCAAGAGAATACGCACTAGAATAAAACGGATTCAATCTTTTCATTTTTACTATTATTTTTGTTACAAATTGTCACATTGTGCCATTTAATGTTATTTGTCAGTTTTTTTGTAACTCTTGTTGTGTGATTCTGGTTTAAAAAATACAATAGTAACATAATATTTTAATTCACTGCCATCTATTGCTAATAATAACATCATTACATTAATAAAACAAAGTTGAACTGTTGCAATCAACACACGAACAGTAGTTTCAGCACAGTTCCTTCATTTGCTAGTAGATGGCGCCCAAATACAATCTGTGGTGATCTTTTAATTTTCGTAGTACAGAAAGTCCTGAAAATAATATCGGAATTTTATATTATCTATTTATTAAATAATTAACCGAAGCATGTGACTATGACCTATGAAATATACATTCGGAGGAACATATTATTCGGCAAGTTGGCGATCAGCTCTGTTCGGGACTGGAGACAGGATATCTACAGGTATACAGGTACTTATTACTATAGTAAACCTAAATGATTTACTGTTAAGATTCCTGTGGCTCTTACACTTAATAAAATCACTCATTATAAAAGATTCATTTTAAAAGAGTTAGGTTTAATTGTCATGAAAGTTTCATAATAACTACTGAGTAAGACGAAACAAAAATGTACATAGTGTGAAACGTAAAACAAAATGCGCCAATGATTTCCCATTGTGTTGCCATTTTAGATGACACTTGTCGCGTACCTGTGACAGAGTATGTACACAGTTGATTGTTGACCAATCACAATCAAGCGAATCGCGCCGTCGTTTCGTTTTTCGTTTTTTAATTCTCTATGGGTCTTACAATGAGAAAGCAGGTCCCTAAAACAGCAGCTTTGTAGGAAGCTTCCATCTGTGGTAAGTGTATGACAAAGTTATCCCTATCACCATGACCGCGAGTTACACCGTTCCAGCGTTTGCAAATGGCACCAATACATTTCTTCTCATTGGAATACAACTGAAATTAAAATTATATTATTTAAAATAATGTTTCCCAGCAGGTACCGAGTTCGTCACATGAGTGGACATATTATCGCCACTGTCAAATCACTCGTCAATATGCTGAAAGCCTTGTGATTGGAGCACTCTTCTCAAATTGGCCAACATTCGACATGTCTACAGTTTTATTATAAGGTTTAAATACATAAAATATATTTGTCCCTATAAGCTCAGTGTATTTTTTATTTTTCGGAACATAAAAAAAGGAAACAGTCAATCAATAATGAGGATTTATCATTTGATGTTTCTGTTAATTGTGTTGTATAAATTTTGTTTTTAACACATCCTTACATAGAATTATTAAATCCAACACCTATTAAAGTACCGTTCGCCCAAAACTTTACCCGAAAGTGTACATTAAACTCCTAAACCACATTAAATATATGAGCAGATCGGGAAACTGCGGTAAAAATATACAACTCCTTTTTTAAGTAATTTGAGAAGACCTTACTGTTATTATACTCTCGATTATGAAATATTTTTACCCCAAAATCAAGATTTTTTGCTTCAATGACTCTCACCTCAAAATCACATTGAGAAGTTGTAGAGACGGGGCCCTTGACCCTGATGACCTGTCGATCGTTAGTGTCGTTTATGGTGAGAACGGGCTTGAAGAAGGTCACCTCTTTACGGACGATGGCAGCGAGCTGACCGCAAACACTTACATCCATTTTGTCCTGACCCACGCTGTAGGGACGGCGAAGTTTCATCACCTGCAATATAACGTAACGGTAAACGTGTGAAGCTCCGTCGGAGACTCGTCTATATGAAAGTTAATATATTATACATTATACATCTCCTCACTAAAGTGTTCAATTTATCCTACTGTATAAACAAATAGCGCTTTCGCGACAGTGAACTTGATATTCCTACTAAAAGCTGAGGTTTTGTAAACATTCTATTACTTACGTTAGTTGTGCAACTACATATTTGGTTTTATTTACTATTAACTTCGTAGCCCAATGGTAAATAATAATTGTGGATATATACATTTCAGTTGGTTAAACATCGTAGCTTTCATGATGCTTTGAATTAATTAACAAAAATAGGGTAGATATATAGATAACGAACGTTCATTAATCATGCTAATGTACTGGTATGTATGCATTTTCCGCACACTTCGCCGTTATTTATTATAATGGGTAATTAACTGAAGTCCATAGAAATCTAAATAATTAGAAGTAGTCTTCTATGGAGAAATCTTTCCCAACCATGCGGCATTGAGACAAGTCTAGCAGTAAAATAAGTTATAGTAAATAACTATAATGGAATGCATAGAATTGATGACGTTCAAATTTTTTTTTTTTTTGCGTTAACACTTTCGGATGTAGATAACATATATAATATATATATATATATATATGTATACCTAAGTATACCTAAGTTATTCCAAGCTATATTTTTTTTGATAATTTTTGTGTTATGTAACCATTTCAGTTTGAGTGTTCGTGAATAACGCTTTCTTGCTGACCCCTAAGCGTTAATTACAAAAACGCTTTAACGCACGAAAAAGTTATGTTACAGCAAAATTTACAAGGGTCGTGAGATTGACAAGGGTCCATCTTATATACAGTTATATATATAATTATTTTATGATTCTTATATCTTATTCAATAAATCTTATTGTTTGTTGCAAATGTTATATGGGAGAAAATAAATAATAATAAAATAAAAAATAATTTTTGATGTTATACTTCTTTAGGCGCGTTATGAAAAATTTATGAGAGTGAAATTTTACAATGCGTGCGCACCGTGACACAAAATTAACAGAATGAAGTTGCCCACGGAAGATGCTACAGCACTGGACATAATTGAAAAACAGCATTCGAATAATAATAGAATTAATGTTACACTTAATGTAAGAGAATAATAATAAATATTTATTTATTTAATTTTTGACATGTAAACTGAACTTTGTTGACTATAATGACTCCTTTTTCAGTCTTTGATTATTTAATTGTAATTAATTATTTACATGCAATCAAAAACTATTTTTCATAATGCCAAAGAAGTATAACTTCTTACGCGCGTACATAAGTATCGTTTATTATCGTGTCTATTTAGTTAATAATTTGGCAGATCAAAGATATACATGAAGTTTCAAGATATAGAAAACCTATTAAACCAATGTCTTTGCAACTTTTGAAATTTTGTATAATACCAAAATCAGTCTTGAAACGATTTGTAATACGAGTTATAGTTCTTTTGATAACTGATTATACCCTTTAAAATTAAGCACAAAATGAGCTCGTAAAATAAGTTTTAAAATACATAATATTATTAATGTCAGTAATAAAATATAACTTTAGGACGAGATGTTCTCTAACCAATAAAGTAACAGCAAATGAAACAAGTCAAGAGAGGAAACCTATAAAATAAACCAACATTATGGTATAACTGCGACATGAAGGAGCGATAAAACACTTTCTGTAATAAAATCACCATAAAATATATAACACGCGAGGGTTGACGGTTATTGTCATTAGACTCCAATAAACCAGAGTAACTCGAAAAACTTTGTCCCACCGTGCTAACCCTTTCTTCTATTCGCACTAGTTTCAACTATATTCTCAAAATTTATACGCCTGGTTTGCATCTCATCAAATGCGTTAAGGTGATATTAGGATATATGATGTGCATTTTTATAATTGTAGTTAAGCTTATAAGTTGTTTATACAAAGCTATAAATCGAGCTTTTAAGCGTCACCTCTCTATCGCTTGTGTCGAAGACATCAATCTGGAACGTCCTAGTCTTTCCTGCTAGAACCTTGTTTACAATACCACAGTCTTCCTTGGCGTAAAGCAACACCACGCCCTCACTGCTTGTCACCACATACTTGCAGTTAGGATAATCTGCCGTCTTTTCACGAACCACCACACGCTCTAGGGAACTTAGCTGTGCAAGCGCTGCAAACGGCATTACATATTTATTATTCGGCAAAAAAAAATTGTATACATAATAAATTGTAAGATGCAATGATCGTTACAATAAATTTAATATAAAAGAGAAATAACAAAGCCATTATGTCTTATAAAGGATACCAGAGTTTTATTGTATTGTTTAGACTTTGTTGTAAGTCCAACGCAAGTACCAAATTGGTTTTTATTGTACGAATAATTAAGTAATAAAGGCAAATAACGCGTAGCCTGAGGATTGAGAATCAATAGTCTAAGCTTGTATGTAAGGTATAATCTGATTCCATAATCAATTGGAAAAAGAAAATGTTGAGACAAGACTTCAATTTAATACATTTTCGTAGCAGACCTAAGTGATTATTCGATAACTTACAACGAACAGTCTAAATAAAAATAATCACTGATCAGCGCCAACGCACCTGCCAGACTACCAGACTGGGGTACTTTATGATATTTGCTTTCGAAATTTAGTATCGTCGGCTAAAATAATGTTAAAGGTACCTTATATAAGTTCCAAATAGATGCAAATAATATAAAACTCGATCGAAAGTGCTTTAAACACATATATAAGTTTTTAATGCGATTTTTCTAACAAAAATTATATTCCAATTAATCAAGAGGTTTCAAATTTTAATAATAACATCTTTTAAACTTACCATTACATTCTTCCGGTGTCGACATTGAAAATGATGTTCAATGAAAACTGATTTTAAAAACTTTGGACTGAATTTATAATTAATAACTGTCAAAATTTTTAAAACCTCAAAACCTTTCAAACGTTGTAACTAGAAAACAAATATTAATAAGTTCAGAGATTCTCAATATTTTAAGAAATACACTTGTTAATTTCGATCTCCCAATTTATGATCTCATATTAATAATTCAAAAAACTTGCAACATTATTTTCAACATGTTAAATGGGAATTGTTTGAGTATCGAAAATTAACTAGTACACTAATAAATCACGCATGCAATGTTTATTATTTCTCCTTACTATTTACAGTGTTCGACATTTATTGATTTTACTCATCCGTTATTAGTTGAACAGCTCTATTAAATAAATAATGAACACTTGTATTAAGCTTTTATTTAAATCTAAAATCCATTAACCGTTTTAAATTATTAAACATATTATTACTGTATTCAAACATAAATTTAGTAAAAAAATTTTAGCGAACACAAAGCAGATTAATTTAGAAAATAGAAGACTTCACATTTGTACATTACTACTATAACGATAAATACGCCGTAACTCTTAATATAAAAGAAAGTAAATTGTTCGTAATTTATTTCGAGAGAAAAACCGAACTCCCGCCTGAAGGCAAGCGCTACGAATCAACCACTGAAAACCCATTTTCGTAGACGCACAAACTTTTCGTACTTAGGCACAGTTCATAATAAGATCAATACTGAAATATTTTGCGTTTTCTAATTATAATAATTTGGACGGAATTTCAAACAAATGTACAATAACGCAAGCAAGGCAATTAATTGGTCATTAATTGTGATTATTGTATTGTGATGTTTCAATGTTACAGTGTTTGTATGTTCAATTATTTTTAAAATTTTGTATTTAAACTTGGTATTAACTTCGCTAGGAACTTCATATACTAGTAGCTTTGCTAGTAATCGATTCACAAATATGTATTGTAATTTTAACAGATTTAATTGCCATTTACAATTAGTTGTGTAATACACAATTTAATTAAATATATTTTTAATTGTGATTGTGTACACGGCTTTACTCGTTAATGGCAATACTTACGTGTTAGCCGTTAGGTACTAACCGTGGTTTTAACTGCGACGTGGTTTGTTATCAGGTGGGTGTAACGATAATGTTTTGATTCTAAGCTCACCTCTATATTTAATTTGTGGTCGGTCTCTTATTACGTTAGAAATACAGAAAAAGTACCAAGCTTTTTTCCATATTCATACAAAACTTTTATTGAATGAGACAAGTTGTTTCATAATATAATGATAATTTTAATATTTGAAAGATATAAACCCAATAGTAAAAAATAATATTTGTCTCTTTCTATCATGATTTAAATTTTACTTTATTAATTAAATGATTCATTAAAATTGTTTATTACTTTGTTGGTAATTAATAATAATTGATAAGGACAAGTGTCTATACTCTATACGTAGCTTACACTTAGCATTAGATATATATAATATATAAAAACAACAATACTTTATATAATTCATTTTAATTATTAATACATACATTATACCAATTTCGATTATCTGAGCTTCGATTCCTCACCAGCTCTTAATGCGTGAAGGTCAGCGAGCAACAAATAGAAATAATCATTTGAATCTGTTTATCATCAAGTGGCTGAGAATTATGGTATGCTTTTGATGAACTCTTGATGTTTAGTGTGAGGTGATTGTATATCCAGGGTGGTCTACTGTATTGTGTTTATGTAGACTTTATCATTACTATGCTAACTATTGCCCATGATGCCGGTCGTGGGAATAAGACGGAAATCAAGCGATAAATGCACGATCTTTGTTTGGATCTAAAGCGTTTTTTCGACATTACTAATTAAAATAGAATTTTTGAAGCAATACTCTTTTACATTTTTTTAGTTTCTATTTTAATATTTTTAGTTATAAATGTCTAACTTCGTGATTAAATCTACGTACGGATACATTCACTGTTCTGTGAATGTATCGGCAGAAAAACAAAAATAATTGATGCTGAGCAACATGCCCTTTAACTTAAATGGAGATGGTTATACAGATGACAGTCGGTCGAAAACGGTAACCGAATGGACTGGCCCAAAAGGAAAAAGGAACAAAGGCAGATCAATAGAGCGATGCGGGATCGAAAGGATAGAAAAAATAGGATGACCACGGCAAAAAATAAAATAGTGTGGAAAAACTTGGTGGAGGCCTTCCCAGACAGGGGCCACCCACATCTTAGACTACAGTATTAGTATAATGTATGTCAATAAGATGTGGATGAATAAAGGCTTACTATTATTATTATATTCTACGCACGGTATACTGTATAATTAAATAATAATAATCCAGAGGAGCTACATTATTTTTATTATATAGGCAAGTCTACTGTCTTGTGTCTGACACATATCATCGCTTTGTGGGTTTGAGGCATGCTGGTTCCGTCACGATATTTTTGTCTTCACTGTAGGAGCAATTGCTTATTGCGCGTACCGAAATTTAATTAGTCAGCTCAGCTTAGGGAAAAAGGAACATTATTTTTTCAGTATACTGAAAAATACTTGCAACTCGTAATCTTCGAGCTTACCAATTTGTTTTATTCAAGCGAATAATTATTTCCTACAAATAATTCTAGTACGTAAATATTATTTATTAACACTTCTTTGCAATACATTATAAAAATTGAACATAATTAAATGAAGAGGAGGACAACTAGCGGCCGTATCGCTTTCAAGCGATCTCTTCCAGGCAACCACTGTGAATTTTTTTTATTAAATTAGATAAGGTAAGCAAGAAGTGCAAAAATACAAAATACATATAATTAATAAGACAAAACTACACAGGAAAGAAAAAAACTAAACTTAAAAAAGGTATGTACATGAAAAATAAAAAGTGCACATTGGTCACGATAATTTTAGATCAGTCTCACGTCAGTTAGTAGTTAGGGATACGATGTGGACAGGTAATGTTTGTACAGTAGAAATATAAAGGAAGATAGAGAAGGAGCTAAGCGAATAGGGACGGGAAGTGGATTCCATAGAACTCCACTTCCATCTAACTGCAGAGACCTTAAAGGATTCGCCAAGATAGGAGGAGTTATGAGATGTGATTCCAAGGATAATATCATTTTCGGAAGAGCGTAAGCTATAGTTACACGTTTCAAAAATTTAAAATCGTTAGGAAGGAAGTTGAACAGGATGGATGAATGAGATGGAGAACGTGAGCATCACGTATTATGCATTAGTTCAGTAGAAAAAAATAACAACAATTTTGAAATTAATTTTTTATTAATAAAAAAATCACAAAATTATATTAACCTAATCAGTCGAATGAACCTATCACTAATCTAAAGTAGTATTCCAGGATGATTACAAATAAAATGTATGGTCCGATATATGTGAAATTTTACGATTTTCCAGTGTCGCTGGTTTTATCTTGGATCGGAATTGTCCTTTCTTGCAATGGTTCTGATCGGAACGCTACCAGCTTCAGCTTGCCTTTGTCGAGATGGCACTCTACGCGCTCTGGAGGGAATCCATCTGGAAGAAGAAACCGTCTCTCGAAGTGGCTCTTGGTCCAGCCTTCCTCTCGTTTAATCTCTTTCTTCCCTTCTACCATGATCTCGTTACCAACCGTCTTGACCTGGATTTGTTCTGGCGTAAAGTTCTGAACGTCCAAATGCACTTCAACCTTCTTTCCGTCGATCTTTACCTCTGAATCGGAGTAGACACCTTCGATTCCATGAGGCTCGCCCTCCAAAGGAGTCGTCACTTGCTTGATATATTTTACGGGGTCACGGAAAAACGGGTCCTTGTTGAACACCGTGAACGGATCCTCCAAAACCCTCATGAAGGGATCCCGGTATGTGAGATTTCTCAAATGGCGCAACCAATACGGCACAAGAGACATTTCGCTTTGTTTTGTTCACTTAGTTCCACACAGCAAAATTGTTTATTTTCAACTGATGCAAGTGACGCGCTCTGTCGTTTATATAGGTGCCGCGGCTGGCGCAATCTATCGTCGAGAATTTTCACGATGTTTCGCGAAGTTTCTAGTATAATCACGAATTAACTGTATAGTGACGCCATCTGTTGGCAAGTAGAATAGTTTATGAGCTAGTACTTTCCGTGACATCTATCGTTGCCAACCGATAGGCATTGTAGTGCCATCTATTGTTAAATAGCGTATACTACTGATGCCTTGGAATTGAAGATTTTATAAAATTATAATTCAGAATAATTTATAAATACAATTAAAATTTGATGATATATTTATATATAAATATAAAAAAATTCATATATTTATTTTTAATCAAAAATTCCCCTTCAGAATGACTTCCGTGAAGAAGGGGTGGTTATGTTACATAACAGCTACATAATAGAATACTTCTATGACTGAAAATTGATGATCAAAAATAGCTATACTAGAGTTTATTACAATTTTTTTAAAGACTAAGAGTGGTGTAAGATTTTCTTCTAAATATTTTACTCAGACGTGCGTGCTTAATACTTCGTCAAACGTATGGAACAGCTACATAAGTTATTATGTACACTGTTTGTGAGTCATGCACACAAAGCATCGTATCGAAAGTTAGAGAGATTACTCTTACAGACAAACTAAAAAACATTAGTTTTTATAATATTTATTAGTATAGGTAATGTTCAGCTCGGACAATTACAAATATATACACTGAAGCTCAGGTGTGCAGGTTTACGCGAGGCCCCCTTTGGGGTGGGGCTCGTAACAACTGCTACTCTTTCCACATGGTTTATCTGGCACTTATTAAGTAAACCGCATCTAATTGTATTGCATATACTACGCGCATTGCATAATATAGATGATTGCGGATGTCACTAAAGCGGGCGGAAGAAGTCGCGCGGGTGATCTTTAGGCGCGCTCTTAACGTTGTTTATCCAGACATTAAAAATAACCACCTCACGCATCGCAAGCTTACTTAAACTAGTACGAAACCGTCAATGTATACAAATAATTACAGTTATTTAGCGGATGCTAATCGCTCTGATACATTTATATAAATCATTATCAAGTGTGAATGACGCACGCAAAGTCACTGTGGAAGGGATTTTCGCTGGCATTTAAAGACATTTTTCTTTTGTTGATAAGCTATAGCAAGTTATTCTGAAAACTTATACTAAAATGGAGGCAAAAATATTTGTGTTGTTGACTCTTTGTTATACAGTGTCCAGTGTTCCCATAAGCACTAATTTCAGTAAGTAATTTTCCCGACATATTTAATATTTCTTGAAAATATGACATTAATTCATATTGAAATTTTGTTTTAGTATCTGAAGAAGTAGCTTCGAATGATCATATAATCATGAAGAGATTCGTAAACCCTTCATTGCCGTTGGGGGAATTTTCAAGGGATAGTCTCAGTCGAGTACGAACAAAGAGAAGGTACAATTAAACCTTAAAATTATAAACCTAAAAAACCTTAAAATATGATTTCTTTGGCCCTTTCACTCACACAGGTCAATACATTGGATGGATCCCCGTTATACCCGTATTATTTATTTATAATTTAACTTTAATTAAACGTGGGGGCTTGTGCGCGCGAAAAAAGAATAACAAATTCACTAGTCTTGCTTATAACAAATTCATCTTCTTATAACATTTTATTTGTTATTTTAGTGAGGAAGATGAATGTGAAAAGCTCGATTTATGCAAGTTGCACGCCAGATCCCAGCACAATTTTATAGCGGCATTTCAATTGTATTTTGTCAAGTAAGTTATCATTTAAATGTATTATTCATTCATAGCACAAGTCTTTTGGAAATGCGCTTAGTATTCTATTCAATAATTTATATCGTTTCAGCAAAGAGAACGCAAGGCTTTGGGACCATCGGGCTCATACAATATCGGACTGCTACCAACTCTACAACTGCTATAGATAAAAGGATTCCCTTGTTATTACTCATTAAGTGCAAAAAAAGTTATATTATCTTTACTTTTGTAAGTCCATGAGAGTAGTCATCTGGAGAAATCACTTTGCGATTAAGCAAGTGAAACACTACAGTGGGAATAAACTACTAAAAAATAGAAACACGTAAAAGTATTTCAACTGCAACTTAAAATATCCTGCATTATACGTTTCCTCCCTTCCCTCATAAGTAAATCTAAATGTTTTAAATAACACACAAAGTATCAACAATCCGTTTTATTTCACTAACACACAACTTAAATGCACCAATATCCTTTATAAATTAAAATAATTCACGAAATTTCAATAATTTCATATTACGAAGTCCATAATAACTATAACACAATTACCTTTAATACTTATATAAAATAATTAAATGTAAAGGAATGCACAACAACTGTTATTAAACTTCTACTTTGAGAATTTAAAAAAAAAACATTTTGAGTTCTGATGTCTGAAGACGGAAGAATAGAAATTAGTTGAAAAAGAATAAGGTATATTTTATTACAATACAAATAAATGATATCTTTATAAAATTCGTTTTTTTATATAATATTAGCATTACTCTAGAGAAACTTGTGAAAATCGGAAAGTGTCCAATAACCTGATCGTAATATAAATAATTGAGAATAATAATAAGATAAATAAAAAAAAATTCATCGAGAATTCTTTAACAGAATATTATATCAACCTGTTTTTTGAAGAAAGAGCACGACTATGTTCACGATTTCCATATTCTCTTTTGACGACTGAACGTATCACTGGGCCTTCTTCCTGGGCAGCTTCTTCGTGGCGTAGTCGGCTTTGATCTTGGCCAAGATCTTGTCGCGATGGAAGTACGCGGCCACCAGAGCGAGGAGCAGCGGAACCAGTAGGAAGGAGCTGGCGCGGAGCTCTTGTTCCGACGATTTCACCTTAACGGGTTTAAACGCGAATTTAATACAATAATCACTCGACGCTTCAAATGTATATAATTCGGGAAAAAATATTATTACCAAACGACAGGTATATTCAGAAATAAGCGATTTTTTTTATTACATACTGTTTTCTATAGTATTAAAAATCGAAACTAACACAAAAACATTGTAAACGATGAAAGTAACCTCTCAAAATAGAAAACTGACCTTGGCCACGAAATGTATGTCGAAATGTTTGTATTTCCCGTCCGAGAAGAAGTAGACGGCCGGCTCCTCGTACGAGTGCGTGCCTTTGGAGAGCGAAGACTCCACGTTCACCACGTACGACTTGTTGTCGGCTTGGAGACGAGGCAGCACGAACATCACGCCCGGGTTGGAGGACGCACTGACATTTAAGAATGTTATTAATATTATTGGATAAAATTTACTAAGGAATCGTCATGATCGTAGAACAATGTCGGATTTGAAAAAAAAACAAAATCCACTTTTTATCATATTTGGATACTACATTGACTTAATATTACGGCTACGTCAAAAAAAAATCCACGTGTGATTTTATAAAAATATACATAATTTCAAATTAACCGGTCGGTAAAGTGACGGATTCGATAGAAGCAAGTGATTTTTCTAGAAAACTGTGTAATTGAATGTTATTATTTTTATTTTGTTTCAAAACAAACCCTTTTGTTTGCTTGTATGCCAATTTTCATAATAACAGAATATGAATTAAAATATGACAAAAACTGACATGATTATTTTATTTTGTATTGGCTGCCCTGTAAAATTTACTATTTGTCAGATCCGTCACTATTCAAGGACTCTGACGAAATATATCTCCACGAGTAATTAAATCGACGCTCATGTATTTACCTATATCCCGAGGGATCGACCTTAGTGGAGTAAATGGGTTGCTTGGTGTTGTCCAAAGCCAGCGTGAGCTTCAGAGTGCGATAGTGCTCGAAGTCCGCGTGCACGAGTACGCTCGCGTCCGTCAACTGCGTCGGTTGCATCACGATCAGTCGCACGTTCTCTATGTCTTTGCCGTGAACCTGAATTGAAACTAAATATTATCTCTCGTATAACTCGTCCACACTACGTGCTCATCTTTAAGGAAATAAGGTGTTAAAACAGTAATAACAATACATAAATAGCGACCTCTATGGGCGGATGAGCGCGCACTAGTTTGGTCCCCGCGAGGTCAGGCGACGCGGAGTCCTTCAGCTCTAGGACGTACACGCACGACGGGACCAGCCCCCGGATCCTAGAAATTTAGTTATATTCGAGAAACGCTTTAATTGAGCCCCTAAATAATAAAAAGTATTCAAGTATTAACAGATCAGACCTTCTTAGCTCCAATTAAAATATACGAAATTCTTAAAAACACTTTAGTGTAATCAAGTCTGTTTTTTATATTTAGGAATGGGTGGTATATTATGTACTTTTTATTTTATAAAGTTCATATTTAAATATTGTGAGTGAGTCACCTGAAGTCCCCGGAGTCGGAGGCCGTGGCGTCCTGCGAGAGGCACCGCGACGACGCCTCGGTGGCCTTCGCCCTGATGGCCACGCCCCCGGCGCCTGCCCCGCCCAACGACACCACGCGACCCGACACCGACCATGCCACACGGGAACCTCTGAAAATAAAAAATATACTCATGTGTTTAAAGAAGCTGAGTTCTTACATTGCAAAGTCTAATCAACCAATAGACATCGAGCAATACTATGAAAAAGGAATGAAAAAATAAAATGTTTCTAAATTTCATTTGCCGCTAGTTCTCAAATGAAGGGCGAAGGGCGAATATACCCTAAATTACTTTTTTAAATCACTGAGATTTTTAGAAAATACTTGTAGGAACTGACTGAATTACGTTTTAAATTCACCATATTATTATGAAACTAATTATAATTTAACATAAACTCTGATTTATGATCTGTATCAGGTAATTGAATTAAATTTCTGTATCAAATGCAATTAGATACTTGTCATGTAGAACTTGTTTTTTTGAAAAACTTTTAGAAGTGAGCGGTTTTGCGAAGAATATTATTTTTTTAATAAAATGTGTAAAATATTTTATATTTACGCAAATTATTGAAATCTCAAATACGAATTTTAAATTTTAGATTTGTAAAATTGTCATTTTTTTTTATTCAAAGTTTTAGATTTGTATAAGTATGAACCAGACCTAAAATTAGTCAAAAAGTTCACTTCTCACCTGTTTTTTTCACACACCACTTTTTTATGTAACTTAAGACCAACTACGTTTAGTCTTGCATCTGCGGCTGATCGATAATAATATTAGTTGTTTTTATAAAATGTTAATGATTTTAACATGAATTCTACGAATATTTGTCATTCAGACCGAAAAGACTCTCACCTGAACACCAACTGCGAAGTCTGCATCTGCGGCTGATCGATAACGGTGAGGATGTGATGAGGAGGGGTGAAGCGGTACTCCTTCATGTTGGCCTTGACGTAGTACTGCGCCGCGGGCAGAGAGCCGAACGCGATCCGGCCCGAAGGACCACTGGCCACGTTGCGACGGTACGACCCTCCGGACACGGACACTAGCGCCCCCTGCCGAGTCACAAACGTTTCATATTAGCTTTCAAAAGGATATATTAAGAAAATATATATAACATATAACAGCACCTCGAGTGGGGTCTCGTCGGCGTCATCGATCAATAGCACTTGTATTTCGGCCAATTTGTGTGCGGCGATGATTCCCTTCGCGTCGGCCTCGCCGAACGAATAGGAGTCCTTTTCGGCGCTAACACTGTATCGCTTGTCCGCCGCCAACGGACCGAAACTGTACACGCCGTCCTCTTTCGTTACTTGGGTCAACTTTATGTCATCTGTAATTTATTGAATATGAATTTTATCAAGTCAAATAATTATCTATCTCGAACAATTCGTTGTAGGCCTCGTGGCCTTACAAAATACTCATTGGGGCAAAAGGCGATAGCCTTTTTACTTTATTACGTATATAAGACGTCAGTTCAGTCCAAATGCACAAGTTTCACTCACCGGAAGCGAGAGTGACAGTGACCTGAGCCACGGGTGGGTCGATGCGACCGGAAACGGTAAGCGCGGGCGCAGCCCGGACCGTGAGGGCCACTTCACATCGGCCGGAGCCCACCAGGCGTTCCTCGCTCGGGGTGAAGAGCAGATCGCTCGACTGGGGCACCACGGTCACCACTTCACCCTATCATTTCAAAATAAAGATTGGTCATTCGGGTCATGTTTAAACTGTGATTCTAGACAACAGGTCCGATGTGTTTATAAATTTGTTTAATTTACTTAACATCCAATTAAAAGAGCAAATTTTTAAAGTAACTTTCTCATATGTTGCATAATAATTGAATTTAAACTAAAAAGTTTACCTGAGCCAAATACAGGGTGTGTTCGTAGACGTGTCCGGCGTCAGTTTTGGTGTGAGCCGGTTTGACGATCGCGGCTTCTGCGTCAGTCTCGAGCCGAAGCGTCAGATCGGCCGCCTTCGGAGATATGACGCGCACCGTGGCCGAGTGAGAACGGGCCGAGAACTCTACGGACTGCAAAAACATTACTGAATTATGTCTAACTTTGGTTACTGGTTTTCAATAATATATCAAATTGTACAAATATACTTTAGTTTAAATAAAAAAGTTTAAGGCCCTCGTCCGATATTGTTTGTAAAGAATAGTCGAATGGTCTCCAAATGTAATAGAACAAGTGTTAACGTTGAAAAAATCGTCAGAAACCGTAGCAAATCGCCCTAAAATCAATTCCTGAGCAACTAGATAGAGAAGCAATTAAATTGCCGTGCATCATCTGAATATGTAATATGCTAAAAATACAAATTTATAAATATATAAAACAAAGTCGTGTTAGTTACACCACTTTTTACTCAAGATCGGCTGGACAGATGTTAGTTATCTCTTTTTTGATGGATTTTCCTCGCTCCGAATAGCAGAATAAATAATAAAGTATCGAATAAAATAAAATAAATTAATTTTACGAATGCATGTGGTGCCATCTGTCGACAAAATTACGCAAATAAATGAAACCTACCACTTTGTTCTTGCGCCGGATAACAAAACAAAAAAATGTTGTATATCAGAAAGTGCTTCAACATGCAGGCTTAATGTGTAAAACTGCCACTCTTTGTATTAATGTTATTACCTTAATGAAATCCATTCTATACTCACAGGTACTTGGCTCCGTTGGAAGGTGACAGTCGCTTGCGCAGGTTCCACTTTGTGGCAACCGCGCGGCGTTAACTCGTAAGAGCGGGCACGAGGCAGACATTGCTCACTCGGCCCGGCCGGGACCGAGATCACACCCTGGACGTCTCCGCTTTTGTATTCCACCTGAAGGGGGTAATGTTCAGTTATAAAAAAATATGTTTATTATGGAACATAAGATACAGGTATCACTTATTCCACGTCATTAAATTTGAATCGGTAGACATCCTTACTCATCGGCAAAGATGTAAACTTATCACTATTTTTGTATACATACATAATATTTTCATAAATATATTGCGAGGGAAAGGTAAGTATATTAATTTCCTTGAATTTATCTCTAAGAGATTCCCTACATTTTAAATTATAGATTGCACGAATAGCCCTCTTCTGCAGGATGAAAATAGTTTCGACATCAGCAGCATGACCCCATAATAATAAGCCATAAGTCATTAAGCTATGAAAGTAACTAAAATAAACAAGTCTAGCTGTATCGACATCAGTTAGTGAGCGAATTTTTTTAACCGCGTAGGCTGCAGAACTAAGTCTCTTCGCCAATCCGTTAATATGAGGGGACCACTGAAGTTTTGAATCCATGGTGATTCCGAGAAATACAGTTGTATCATCCAGATTCAATTCCTCACCGTTTATAATTGGTCTAGTATCCATAACCCATGCATTTTTTGCACAAAATTTAATTCATTTTGTCTTTTTTGCATTAAGTAGAAGGTTATTCATACTAAACCAATGACAATCGAAGAGATAGTGATTTTCACATTGTCAAAATTTGTTATTTGTCAACGATGGAACCCACCTCGATGTCGTGCGAGCTGTGCACCCTGAGCACCAAGCCGCTCATGACGAAGTCGGGCACGGCCGCCTGAGCGGACACCACGGCCACGTTGTGCGCCGAGTCTTGCCAGCACACCACGGAGCCCTCCACCGACACCTCCACGCTGCCCGGGAGCACTTCCGAGAACGAGTACGAGCCGTCTGCCGACACCGACGAACGCATACGTTATTTATGAGAACAGAGCGTCCATCGCTGCATGTACACGTCACTTACCCTCCTCGATGGGCACGTGGGTGGGTTTCCCGAGGTAGCGGCCGTCGGGGGCCAGCGCTCGCAGGGCGGCTCGGAGCCCCTTGCAGTCGTCGCCGCACAGCGCCCGACCCGTCACCTGCGCTCGCAGCTGAGAGAACGACACGCCCGACACGGCTTCGCCCTCCACCGCCACTTGCAGCCATTCTGGGTAGAATCTGAAATTTTCATAATTGGGATGACCTTAGAGCGCCAAAAAGGAATACGAAGACGTACTTTAGCGTTAAGTTTTATACTAATTTAAAAAAAACATAGACAATATATTTTATTTTTAATTGATATGTGTAAGGGCGTGACCAAACAAGGCGTGCAAGGTGCAGCAACATGCGGCATTCGTAGGACGTTCACTTCTCTTTCTCTCTCACACTTCCTCACTTCTCTTTATCAACAAAGAAATGTATTAAAAGGTTCTTCTTTATCAAAAAATGACTTTAATTTCAGCGATCGAATGCGAATGCATCTGATCGGTACGCCGCGCCCGTTTGGACATTCGTATAGAAATGACCTCCCCCCCTTCGTAGCCAAAACTATATATATATATATATATATATATATATAATCTCTTCGTAACAGCGTAAGTGAGACTTATTTTTTTTAAAATGACCAATTTTGAAATACCACATTGGTAAGTATATAATATATAAATGGATCGATCGCCAACTTACTGTAACCCATCTCTATGCTCTTGTTCGGAGACGTCTACGCGCGCCGTGTACGTGCCTGTCGGTAGAAACGTACACCACTTGCCTGGAATATGTTAAAATAAACTATTAATTTAGTTATTGTGTAAAAATATATATAATATACAGAAACAAGGTGCTGCCAGACACAGAGTTAGCCTTTAATTAACCTGGACTTCTTAACATAAAAAATTAAATCAGTATTAAATGTACGGCGTCACCTGGAACCATTTAAGTATGAACCAGACACACATGTGTCAGTTTCAGTATTTGGTTTACTTAAAATCTTTAAGCAGAAATAGTAAATTTTATAGATTTTTAAGTTGCCTTACCATCAGCATCGCTAGAAACGAGTACAGTGGTGGCCGTGGAGCGCAGAGTGACAGTGCGGGGGGGAGTGGGGGCGGGGGCGATGGAACCGCAAACTCGCCAACGGGACACCACCGCCTGAACACTACCACTCACACCGCTCGACGTCACTACCACTTCGAGGGGCTCCCACTCACAATGCTCTGTGGGTTATTTAAAGCGAGCAAATTTAGAGAATTATGATCCATCCTGTGTATGTGATAGTACTAAATGTATTTAGAATTAACATTATTAATTAATTTATAACTTTTGTGTTCCTACAGCTATCTCTAAATATATACATACTAGCTGACCAGGCAAACGTCGTTTTGCCATGTATATTATTTCTAGGAAACTTTTTTTAGTTTAATAAATATAACTATTTGCTATAATAAAAAATAGGGGTTGATCGTAGAGGGGTGAAAATTAAGGGTCATATGTATTTTGGTATGCTGTATCATAAAAAAATAAATACAAAAAGTTTTGTCTAAAAAATTAAAACCAAAATTTTGGGGTGGGACCACCCTTAACATTTAGGGGGATGAAAAATAGATGTTGTCCGATTTTCAGACTTACTGAATATCCATAAAAAAATTCATAAAAATCGGTCAAGCCGTTTCGGAGGAGTATGGTAACTTTTGTGACACGAGAATTTTATATACATATTAGATAATAAGCAACAAATAGACTAAAAGTGTAGCCAAATGTGGAAAACAGAATTCACATCATAGTGTTCAAACATTACAAATCCTCTGAACATATTTCTATTAATAAAACTTTATCATTAAAATATAAATTCTTTTGTAGACAAATACTTCTATGTGCTGTGGTGGATGAAGATTTCAGATATTTCTAATTTCTTCCTTTTATATACTAAGTACTAACCATGTTGCAAAGTGACAGTATAAACACCAGGAGTCATTGAGGTAAGTGTGAATTTGCCAGCAGAGTCCGTTGTCCCTACAGCTTGACCATTCACAGACACACGAGCTCCAGGCATTGATTTACCTCCTTTTGCGGCTATGACAGACCCTACGACTGTGAATCCTGTAACCTGATAAATTATATTTCATGTTTTATTCTATTTACAAAGCCTTTTGGCTTCATAATATGATACATGACAAGACACACACACACTTGACACATATATAGAAAGATAAATTGTTTGTAGAATTAGAACGTACGAAAAATTTCTTAATTAATTTTCGGTATCAATCAATAGTATATCGCCTGTGGGTTTTCACCTCGGATTAGAGTTACAGTGAATTAATTAATATGATCGATGTGGGATATTGTTTTTTAAACTATAAATTGCAATGTTTACCCAAAAATTTTATGTGCATTCCATTATTATAATTTAAAAAAAAATTATTATGAAAAATTAATGTTTGACTTTAAACTTTTTATTTTCACTTTAAACAGTATTTTATTTACATGTTAAATCTGACGTGAGTAGACATATAGGAACATTTTTCAAAGATACCTGTGTATAAAAATAGCAGTAGGGATCTCGAACAGCAGAAGAGCGGAGCGACAGCTGCTATGTACAATGGAATTTCTCGGCCAGTTTAGTTGCAAGTAACACGTGTTCTGTGAATATTGTGCTTCCATAACAGTGAAAATTAGGTTTTTTTGTGAAATATTCTTGTATATTTTTGTACTGGAAGGTGTATTGATGACGACGTTTTTATATTGAACGTTTTATCTCACACACTGTTTTATTGTGATTTTTATATTATTTTTATTACTCTTTAATGTATAATATTCTACGGTTTCGATATTTGTAAATATGTGAGGAACATGTATACTAATTTTTTTAGTATAGTAGTTTTATTCTAAGAGTACATTGTCTTTACATAAGAAGATTAACCAATGTTAACTCTTCCAAAGCTATTTTCAAGTGTGGAGAAGAATGGGGAAGAATCTCTCACACTTCTCCTTTAAAATAGGTTAAGACTACTTTTTTGACAGGTTAAATAATTATATGTAAAGACAATGTACTCTTAGAATAAAACTACTATACTAAAAAAATTAGTATACATGTTCCTCACATATTTACAAATATCGAAACCGTAGAATATTATACATTAAAGAGTAATAAAAATAATATAAAAATCACAATAAAACAGTGTGTGAGATAAAACGTTCAATATAAAAACGTCGTCATCAATACACCTTCCAGTACAAAAATATACAAGAATATTTCACAAAAAAACCTAATTTTCACTGTTATGGAAGCACAATATTCACAGAACACGTGTTACTTGCAACTAAACTGGCCGAGAAATTCCATTGTACATAGCAGCTGTCGCTCCGCTCTTCTGCTGTTCGAGATCCCTACTGCTATTTTTATACACAGGTATCTTTGAAAAATGTTCCTATATGTCTACTCAGGTCAGATTTAACATATAAATAAAATAAAATACTGTTTAAAGTGTAAATATATGGACAAACATTAATTTTTCATAATAATTTTTTTTTAATTATAATAATGGAATGCACATAAAAATTTTGGGTAAACATTGCAATTTATAGTTTAAAAAACAATATCCCACATCGATCATATTAATTCATTCACTGTAACTCTAATCCAAGGTTTTACGGTTTTGAATGCTCCGGGCACTCTATTACAAGGTGATTGGCCAAAGTAAGAGGATGCATTTGTTAACACAAAATTGTGAAATAACATTACTTTTCAACTCACTTCAAATGCACTCTTGATGTATTGACTGTCATGAATAACATCAAATGAAACACTTTCCGGTTTGATATTGTAAGTTATAGAAGCTTGCCCTGGAGACTTGCTCATTGCTAACAGTTTATATTGCCCAGCTGGCACCAGCCCAAAGCTGAATTCTCCTAATTGATCAGTTATAGAATAACATATCGGTGAATCTGGAACACCTTGGAGTAAAGCCGTTTTACAACCTTCCACTCTGAATTTAGGGTTTTCCTGAAACATTAAAAATAAATTTGATGCAATTTTTATACAATGCAATTTTATTGCTAATATAAAAATTTATAAACTTGCTTTTAATCCTCTTTAATTGTTATGGCATAGATGCACTTGCTTGCATTACATTGTTTTGCTTAAGGTGTAATATATATATAGTTTAAAAGAAAACTAATGTTGTATATATTATTAAGCATTGATGGTTATGGTATCCCCAAGTTTACTTCTATATAATAAAGTGTCTATTTTTCTTCCGTTTTTATAAATTGACAAGTAGTTCTCACCTCTTTAGAATACAAGAGTACGTGAACACCAGGCATAGGGTTACCAAAAGATAAAATAGAACCCGTGACATCATAGCCTTTCACTGCTAGTACTCCAACTGGCAGAACTGTGTTGCCTTCTTTTACATCCACATTAGCTTGGGCTGGCTCTAGTTTCCATCTACAATATTTTAGTAAAATATGAAATATTTAAAACAGTATCCTTACTAAAAAGTAGTCATAAAATTATCACTACTACCAAAAGTTTTTAGAAAAATGCTGAAACTTCATTTACAATTTAAATATTTATTATAACAATATAAATATATCATAACAATAATGTCAGATAAAATCATGTTTAAATCTTGTTTTTATATTAATATTTTTGGCTCTATAAAGACAAGTCCAAATTAAGTTCTATTTACCTGCTATGGGAAGCTTTTAACACATATTTGCCAGGTATTACTGGGGTGAAGTGAAATTCTCCACCAGAGCTGGTAACTGTGTTTCTTATTTCACCTTTATCATTTACTAACTGTACAGATATACCACTGGGACCAGACTCTTTGCCTGCAGTGATTACTTTACCCGTAATGCCAAAACCATTGAAAGAAAAGTTTACATCCTGGCCTTTTGAACATTGGTCTGTTTCTCCATCAACTGATAATTCTACTTCAGATGGATCAAAGCTCCAACCAGCTGGAGGATGAACTTTTAACACGTAATCTCCTTTTTCATATAGTGGTACAAAATAGTACCCATTTGTGGGTGCACATTCTGTTTTTTCTACCAAAATTCCTTCTTTGGTATACCTATAATGAGAAAAACGTTCCTGTAGTCAAGTTATTATAAAATTTAATTAGATTAATATGTTTTAGAGGTTAACTTACAGTCCAATTTCAATATTAGATAAGTCTAAAACTACGTGACTTTTAACGAATCCTCCACATCCTAAGATATCATTTGCAAAGCATAGATTTGCACTTAACATTAACATACATAGTACAGTAACAGAATTCATTATACTTATTATATTATTAAATTAAAATAAATTCAAAGGAACATTTTTATTGATATAGCCAGCGCCAAGCTATAAACGTCAGTTGACTTCGTCTAATTAAAAATACGACTATAGAGTGCGAACTAGGGATGTGAAAAAATAATCGATTATTTAAAAAAATCGATTTTAATCGATTTTTTGAAAAGTAAAAATCGATTTTTATACGCGATTTTTATATTTGAAATAATCGATTAATAATCGATTTTTTTTATAATTAAAATTTAATCATAGTCGATTATTTTTATAATTGAAAATCAATCAGTCGGCTTTTCATCTGCCACCTCCCGACATTATGTCTGGTCTTTTATAACCCGGACTTCGAACTCTTAGGGATATTCGATATACAACGATGTTTACAATGCGATACATTGAATCCGATTCTTTGAAGATGTATTGATATACTCGATGCATTGATGTTTTTTTGTAAAATATCGAAAGGATGATAAAACCAGTTAATTTTACAAAAACTCAAGTTTGAATGGAACACTATAATTTAAAAGTAAAATAAATTTATTCAGCAGCACAAGACTACATACAATTAAAAAGACAACAAAAATACTGCAATGTGCTACTGAAAAGGTATACACTCAGCATTTATCAAATTTCACCTAAAATCTATCAAAACGAGAATAAGTTAATTTCGATTTTCATTATTCTTAAACGTTAATTTGTGTTTATAATTTCTATTGTTTATTTTAATTGAAAAATAAAACAAAACCATGAAAAATAAAATATTTAGGGTGTTTATTTTGAAATTAATTCAAAAATTAGGAAAAAATCGATTAATAAAAAATCGATTTTTTATGCAGAATGTCACATCCCTAGTGCGAACCAAACTCCAAAGCCAATACTGAATACCAAAACCAAATCAAACCAAAAGGCACAAACCGAAGGTTGACAATTGACATCACAAACCAGATATAAAACTTTAGAGCATAGAATGAAAATCTTCTAGTGTTACCAGATGCTCTAAAAAATAGAATTATTTCAGTAATTCATACATTTTTCATTTACAATACCGACTTTCTTTCAATTGCATACATATTTAAAAAAAAAAAATAGTTTTGGTACAAAAAACTAGACGATACAGCTATCATATCGTTTTGTCATTCTTTGACGCTTTTCTTGCTATCAAGTGTCAGTTTTAACTTCTGTGATCTGTCTATTGTTGCTTTTTGTCTTATGTTTTTACTTTCAAAATCAAAATATCTACCTTCGCGTTTTAGTCGCTTTTGATTATACAAGATTGTAATAATTTGTGGTGTTCATTTCGTCTTTTGTGTTTCTTCATATTCTTGTGAAAGTGCAGTAAACACTGTAGGAGTAATTGAGACCGAACACGACAAAAGTAAGTTATAATTTTATGTCCTAGCGGAACCAGGCTCCCGATCGATATAAGAAAATATATGTTTTCTGACTACTCTTACAAGTTATTTAAATGCCTTCATACGAACAGTTAAATAATGATTGTGTTTAAACGCTTAAATGTCTTTATTTCACAGTTTGATTTAGTAAATTAATTATGGAAAGGGCAAACTTGAAAAGGAACCCCACAGTTGAAATGTAGGTTTGCATCATTTACTTTATACTCATCTACTGCCTACATTAACAAGCATAATACATATATGTCATAGTTAAACAAAATGGCATGTAGTATTGACTTTCTACTAGAACTAGAAATCTGTAATAATATAAATTTGTCCTTACCCTTAAATTTCTTACAAAGATATTCTATTTATATATAAATACAATTGTTTCACAACCATTATTTAGTGTTTGTGGCATATGGAATTTAACCCAGGGTCGGGTATTGTATTTCTAGCAAAACAATTATAGTTCTAGATTGGTAGGCACAAAACACTGATACTTCACTTAAAACTTTGTTATTTTATTATACTTGTTATATTTTATTAGAGTATACTGGTACTCCAAAAAAACACTACCAATGAAACTGTATGTTTTCCCTATTTGTCATTTATTTTTAGAGAATAACTGTCATTGGGTATAAGCAATTTGAAGTATAACCATAATATTAAGAATACAGATGCTGATACATATACCATTTGTATTAGTATTATTGCTTAATTTTCTGAATTGCCACTTGCAGATACAATATATATTCAATATGAAAATTTAAATCAAGTAGTATGGTTTTACATGAAGTACTTGACATAATATATGTACATCTTGTAGATTGTATGTATCCCCTTTGCCTTGGAAACAATTTTTGTTTCTGGCATTATCACTCATGTCTAATTAAAGAACCAGTAAAATAAATTATGTATAAGTGCGGACATTTTCTATAACAAAAAGTTCATGAATGAAGTGACAGCGTAATTCAAACACTTTTCATTCCTCTTTATCAATAATTCTTGATTAATTGCTTTTTGATGACATAGAGCATTAGCAAATTATTTACCATCCAATTACCATTTCAAGCCAAATTTCTGTCTTCATTTTTATTCATTGGAATTGAAAAATATCTATACATAATAGCTATAATTTATATTAATGATCACCTTTAAAAATGTGTGAATTTCTACAATGTCTTGCCTACTAAATTTATGAATATTTTATGGTTTTGTTTATTAATACAAATTTTTCAAAGGTAATATTTTTAGCACTATTAATAAAACATCTTCATTAGGGCTACATTAAAAAGGTTTCAGAGCAAGTACCAGGTGCGCGGTCTGATCGTTTTCCGAAGTGCGGTGTTCACGTTAAATTTGAATAAGCCATTATTCGCCGCCCTGTTATTGCTCGAGTGGTTCTTTTGTAAATCTCGAGGCACTGGTGCCGCCTACGATTCGTTTTATTTAAATCATTTAATTCCCTACCAATTTGAAATATAGATGAGATTGAAACTTTGGTTAAAATACCGAGACAATTGTCGTCTCGGTATTTTGGAGAAGTTTACATTTCGTTTTATCGGTTAAAATCTGTATCATTCTAGGTAAATCATTGTATGATTTGGTTATACCAGAGAAAAACAAATTATAACTCCACTAAACTTTTATAAGTCACGATGCTTTTGTTTCCCTTGTCGCAAATATTATGTACATGAATATTAATGAGAATTTGTTTAATTCAGTAAAGTCATATTCATATTTTTAATATTGTAAGGGGTAACGTTTTATGAAAAAAATCATCAAAGTTTTTATAAAAACACTAGTGGACCCCACAGACGTTGTCCTGCATGATATTTAAAGCGATTAGGATATTAAGCAAAGAATGAAAGTACCGACTGCAGTGCCATCTGCCGGGCTGATTTGTGAATCTAAACCATTCCCAGATCCCCTTGAACACACACAAAAAATTTCATCAAAATCGGTCCAGTCGCTTGAGAGAAGTTCAGTGACATACACACTCACAGAAGAATTATATATATAAAGATACACATTATTCACACATATTTTTTTATCCCGACAAAACTAATTTTAGAAAACTTATTTACTATATTTCCCACTAGTATCCAATTCCCTCCGATTTACCCTAAAGAAGGTATGTTACGAAGCATGTTTGTAACAATCCAACTTTAATTGAATACGTGACTAGTGAAAACGCGGTACGTTTACTAATGAGAATTGTTAATAGTTATTAATTAATATTAATGCTATAAATCATCAGAACAAACGCTCAATGTCTACGAAGTTAATAAATCATTAATTGTTATATATTTAGTTTCGTAAATGGATTTAATTTTTTTATTATACTTGGTAATTCTTTTTATTTTGTAAAGTCATCTTCAAAACGTAAGAGTAAAGACGTGTATGTTTTAAATTTGGTACGTTCTTTTATTTTGTAATAAGTTCGGTCTCGCGTAAGTACCTAATTTGCGTGTTGTAAACCAGTTTGGCCCGAAACTTGTTTCGTTCCGGCAAGTACTGCCCGGATTCCAAGGTGTACTGATTGTAATTTATTTTGTATTGGAAGTTCCGCAGTAGTACATTGGAAATGTTATAAAAAATCATTCATATGCTATAAAAGACACCCAGCAACATAAACAATGCTTTTTAAGTAATTTTGTTTCTTCATTACTTAAGAAAACTTTGATCTTGTTAATCGAGATAGTGATTCTTACTTTTGCAAGAGCTAACTGTATTTTCTCAGGCACAATGTCCTTTAATCTTCGCATTAGTAATTTGCCAAAGCCGCGAACTCTCTGTCAGTAATAAATTGTTTCGAGAAACAAGATTAATAGTTGATGGCTGACATGTGCTAAATGAAAGCACCACTTAAACTTGTCGAATAAATTTGAAGGCATTTCGAGAAGCCATTGGGATAATAGAGGCCATATATTAATGTTTTCTTTTTACCCGAAAGAGATAAAAGATTTTAGTTTTAAATGTTGCTGCACCAACGTTAAAGCCGCACCAACAGACTTTCACATAATTATACCTAAAGTGATGTATTATGACTACCGGTAGTTTTTTCAAGGTGATCAGATATACATTATAGAATTTAATTAACTAGCTCTATTTGACCATGGTATTTGACAGTTTCCAGACAAGCAAAGCTTAGTTGTTGGTCCAACACATACGTAGCTTATACATATGAAGTGATTGTTGACACCTTAAAGGTTGCCTTAATTTCAAAGACAACTAACTACATTTGTTATCAGTTATAATTTATATGAATGTTGTAATAAAATTGCTAAATTGTGTATTTAACGAGTACTTGGGAACATTAAGAGCTTTATGCTTTCCGGGAATGATTTTTCAGTATATATATATTGCTAACGACAGTCGATACTTCACTTCAGTTAATGATATGATCTACAAAGTAAAATGATGAAAAGCTCTGAAACCTTGAAGAAATAATGCAGACACAAAGTAATGTCTTCTAACCCTCCGCAATAATTAAAGAAAACCTTATCAAGAGCATTATTCGAATTTATTTCGTTTTCTCCCAACCTCCATTTTCTTGGAGTATAAAGCTTAAAGTAATTGGCTAGAAATATG